CTTACACACACACAGACACACAATGCACACACACAACACACATACAATGTACACACAGACGGACACACAACATACACACAGACACACACACTCTTCTCATGCTCCTGACTTCCAGCTGTCTCAGCCTTCTTTCAGTTCTTCAGAGTCCCCACCTCCTCAGCCTCAGTGCCCCACCATGGCTACCATGTCACCGCTGCTTGGAACACTCTTTTTTTTTGAGATGGAGTCTCGTTCTGTCACACAGCAGGCTGGAGTGCAATGGCGCCATCTCGGCTCACTGCAACGTCCACCTCCCGCGTTCAAGTGATTCTCCTGCCTCAGCCTCCGGAGTAGCTGGGATTATAGGTGCGCGCCACCATGCCTGGCTAATTTTTGTATTTTTGTTGTGGTGGTTTTGTTTTTTTGTTTGTTTTTTGAGACGGAGTTTCACTCTTGTTGCCCAGGCTGGAGTACAATGGCACAATCTCGGCTCACTACAACCTCCGCCTCCCAGGTTCAAGCGATTCTCCTGCCTTCACCTTCCCAATTAGCTGGGATTACAGGGGTGCGCCACCACGCCCGGCCTAAATTTGTATTCTTAGTAGAGACGGGGTTTCACCATGTTGGCCAGACTGTTCTTGAACTCCCAACCTCAGGTGATCCGCCCTCCTCGGCCTCCCAAAGTTCTGGGATTACAGGTGTGAGCCACCGTGCCCAGCCCTTTTTTGTTTTATTTTGAGACAGAGTCTCACTCTGTTACCCAGGCTGGAGTGCAATGGCACAATCTCAGCTCACTGCAACCTCTACCTCCCGGGTTAAAGCAATTCTTATACCTCAACCTCGCGAGTAGCTGGGATTATAGGAATACGCCATCACACCCAGCTAATTTTTGTATTTTTAGTAGAGATAGTGGTTCACCATGTTGCCCAGGCTGGTCTCGAACTCCTGACCTCAGGTGATCTGCTCACCTCGGCCTCCCAAAGTGCTGGAATTACAGGCCACTGTGAGCCACTGTGCCTGACCTCCTCTTGATTATTTATCTGTCCCTCGCATCCTTGTGTAATTGGTTTTCTCCCATCCTCCTCCCTTATGTTAATCTTTTGTACTACTGCACCCCAGCGGATGCTTAACTGTACCTTGGGTCTACTCTGGAGATCAGTGTTCTTGGCTTTAGTAAGAAACTTAGGGCTACATCCAGGTGGATATTTCTGTGGCGGAGCCTTGGCCTCTAGCTGGTTCACAGACCCTCCTTCCCATCTCTCTGCATTTTGTTTTCAGTATTACCCCTTATTTTCTCCTCAAGTAGTTACTCTAGTAAAAGTATAGCTAG